AATTTTATGATTTTGAATTTTTTTCATTTTCCAAATTTCCTTTGTAGGAACAAACCCATGATTTGTCCTACATCACATGTACATATGTCAATCCGTATAATTAAAATGGTCTGTAGGTGTTGGAGTTTCAACACGTAATCAGCCGTGGTCTCTTTTGGGGGTCGGTGGACTCCTCCCTATTCACCTCCCCTCTCTTCTCTCCATCTCATCTCTTGTCCTTCCCTCTCTCCCCCCCTCCCCCCACCCTCTTTCCTCTTTTTGAATTTTCTTTGTTCTTTTGTTTTTGTGATGTAAAAGTAGTCGCTGTAAAATGTTGTCGTTGTCATGAAATAGTTGCCGTCTTTTAACCCATGTAGACAAGAAAGATGTCGAATTACGTCGAATTTAGATTCAGTTGATGCGGCATTATAGGTTTAACCGGTATGACGCTATGACTCTTTTTGAGAGAATTTGGGTTGTGGTCTTGTTTTCATTTTGTTTCATTAATTTACTGCCCGGGAGGATGTATGGTCATGCAATCATAAAGTAATAAGTTAGTTGCTGCCCAAACAATTACAGTTAAAGTGAGCAGATCTTAAGAATAATGTAAGTAATGCCGAGGAAAAGAAATGTTGTATACTTCAACTAGTTGACTCCTTTTTTGCCTATAAAAGTTTATAGGAGACAATGATCGAGGTGAAAAAGTGCACCCATGATTTCTGAATAGGATGAAATGAAAATAAAAAAATCATTTGATGTAGAATATGATTTTTTACATCAAATGATTTTTTTAGGGAATATCTTTGCTAACCATTTTAATTCAAAGTGTATCTTTACTATCATTCTCAACACTTGACACGTGTTCATTGACATAGTCATAATTAACTATTTAGTTTGTATTTATAGAACCATAGTTATGTCAATAGACACATGTCAAATATTGAGAAGGGTGATAAAGATACACCTTGGATTAAAATGATGAGCAAAAATGCTCCCCTTTTTTAAAGACAACGTATTCTATTCATACGCCAAATTAATATTGATATAAGAACAACTAGCTTACTAATAAGAATAATAATATACAACGTAATTTGCTAGGATGGATAAATACAATCCATATGATTTTTTTAAACAATTTTTATTATTTATGATATAATCATCTAAACTACTCTAATGTAATTAAATTTTAGTGTAAAGAGCATTGTCCTGCCCAACCGATCCTACTCATGTACACTTGTCGATCCATATAATTAAGATGGTCTCTAGTTATAGGAGTTTTTCAACATCATGAGCTCACATTATATATTACATTAGAAATGATTTTTTATTGTAAAAAATAGGGCCCTGAAATTAAATATATACTTATAATAATGAGGACATGTCATCTCTATAAGATGAAGAAATCACATCAAATCATCAACATTTACAATCTCTATCTCGTGATCTTCTTTCTAGTGTACATATCTACTCAATCACTTTGGCCTTAGCTTACACTTTTAGGTTTCATTCCTCTGTTCTCCACATGTCTGTGATACTAATATCAGCATCTGATAAAAGCCAGTAATCTGCATCACTCTGAAAAAATAACCATGGACCCATGATGATGGGTACATTTTGTTAGAGGTAGCCCAAGCAAAATAAGGACTAGAAGGCTCATTGGCCAAGGGTACAAATAGATAATTATATAAAGGGGAATGTTAGCAAATTTTTCTTTAACTTTCTTATTTTTGGACTTTCTCCTTTTTCCTTATGGCATGTGTCATTATCCTTACACTTAAAACAATGTAATTAATGCATCGCACAAGCTAATTTTTGTTTTCCAAATTTATCCTTATTAAATGTATTGATTTTTTTACAACTTTATTATCACCTTATTAAAAAAATATATAAATAAGAAAAATGACAATTTTATTTACTTATTTTAAAAAGTGTCTTTTTTTTCTTTTTTCTTTTTTTTTCAAAGAGAACGTTTGTTTTTTGTTTTCCACAACAAATGATATCACTTCCATGAATAGTCATTTGATGAAAAAGATGTTTTAAAGATATTATTTTCAGGTAGTTATAAGAAGGGGAAAAAAAACAATAAAACATAAATATTAATAACAATAAACATATCAGTAAAATAAACTAGTTTATTAGCAACATCTGTTTTCTAGAAGAAAAAAACAGACATTAAACAAAAACTGACGTTTAAAGTAAAAAAGGTGATAAGAAATAAAGTTTTAAAAAGACTAATTTCTTGTAAAAAAAAATCAATATATTTATTAAGGGTAAACTTGGAAAATAAAAATTAGTTTATGTGATACACAAATGACATTGTTTTAAGTATAAAGAGAGTGACACATGTCATGAGTTAAAGGAATAAGGTCCAAAAGAGAAGGTTGCTAACATTCCCCTTATATAAAATATCAGAACTTCTATTATGTGCACGTACGAGTGTTATTATCGTGAGAATGCTATGTATTTTTTACTATTCCTTCTTGCATCCCTCCTTATTTATAATAACATATGCACATTAATAACAACGTGTGGACATCCGAATGAGATAATAATTGTATAAAATAAATAATTATAATATGAAATAGTATTGAAATTGTAGCACTCTGATATCATCAGCTTCATGGAAACTACTTGTATTTTGCTATAAAGGTAGCGTCCTTTTCAAACAGTCTTCATCGACCAACAAGAAAGCTTCCTTTTTAAGAGATGATGATCACAAAATGATAGTGAAAGTAAAGCCATGGAAACCCATTTCTTTCCCTTCATCCTTCCCCCAAATGATTAGGTCCTTTGCCTGGCTCTCATACTTTTTCTTGTCCCCATAGAAAATATTTATACAATATTTCTTGTCGTCAAGGAATCACTCCTCTCTCCTTCGAGTGCATCAATCTTTCATGCCACACTTTTTATTTATTTTCATTTATTTTTTACATTCCACTTTTGTTTAAATCTAGACATACATGAATTTTAGTAGTCTAAACAAATAATTTACCTTATAATATCATCTAAAATTCTAAATTTGAAATCAATTCATCCGAATGAGCCCTAAAAAAACACATATTTGATAGAGTCCAGTTGAATTAGACAAAAGTATTTTGTTAAGAGATTAAAAGTTTTTGAGTATATCATGAAGAAACCGCTTAAAATAAATGTGTTCCGTGAAACAATATTGTCACGTACATGAAAATATGCACGAAACACTTGCATTTTAAATGATTTTTGTTTCTCCATGTAATTCTTTATAGAACACTATCTCTCAAAAACATACCCTTACAAAAGATTGTTGAGGAATCTCCTCATCTTTCTAGATGGCTGATTGTGAAGTTTAGACACCCATGAACATGATCATGAACAATTGGGGTTAAAATGGGAGAATTCTTTTTTTTTTTAATAAAGAAAAAGGCAATTGAGGTAGTTTAGTGATATGATGGTCCTTTCCTCTTGTGCCAGCCAGGTTGTTTTAGTGGTTTATAAATAATAATTGCCCTAGTTAACTTCAATTTGGGGTTAATTATGTGGTTTCAACTCCTCTATTAATGAGGGGTTTAGTTTTAAGATTCCTTGGTCCCGCTTGGGCCAGTCCCACCCATGCACCCAATCCACTATAAATCAAGTCAAAAGTTGTAATTAGGGTGCCTTGAGAAGAAAAACCATCCATGTCTAATCACCAAGCTAAGGAGATAACCCTCTGATTAAAATTTCATGTCCCCAATTGATAACCAAATTTTTTGATTTGACACCAATAAATATTCTAATTAACGCCTTTAGTCTGTGTGTCCACATGCTTTTGCTCTCTAACTAAAAATATTTTTTTAGCTATAGCTGTAATAATAATAATTGGAAGTAGGACTAAGTTTTCATGGTTTAGAACTTAGAATCATATCTAAAGTGTAATCTATAATTAATTTTAAGGTCAATGGACGAGGACAATGCTTTGTTTGCATAAAAGTTTCTCTGATTGAGATCAATTACATTCTCATTAGATGACTGATTGCTTGCAAAAAATCCCTTTATGTCTGAGGTGATTGTCTTGTTTTCGATGTCGGAAGTTGTTTCAAATTCGAATCTCGGCTCTCCTACTGATTAAAAGAATTCAGGGAAAGATGTACCTCAACTATCTCAATATCAAACTTTAATTTTTGTTAGTACAAAAGCACGATAGGGTTGGCTTTCATTTGGTTTACTTCGACTCTTATGTGACATAATTTGGCGTCTTATATATAAGATCATTCATTCATCCCTTATTACATAGGATCCACGTTTGCCTTATCATTGGTGTCATGTAATTGAACATACACAAGTGGAAGACATATCAAATCTTTTTCCTTTTCGGGGTTTTGATTCACTTGCAAATTATTTACAATTACAAGAAAATGGCACTTCTCTCGTTTTATTACTATTTTAACTTTCAAAAACTCCTTATAACTTTATAAAATTACATTTATATAATGATAAAACATTTTACTTCTTATTACAAAAATATTATGTAAACATGTCAATTCATCAGGCTAATGTTCTTGTCCGTTTTGCTTTATACGAATAAGATCCTAATTATTGTTTAGAGAAAGACCCGTAGTGGCGAATAAATTGTATAATGGATAACCTTGTGGTAACCAATGCTTCCAGTTAATGAAATTTACTTTCTTTCGGAAAAAAAAAAAATCATTGATAGTAAATTAAAAAAAAAAAAGTAAATTCATCATTGTGTAGGATGCGCATGTAGCAATTTAGTAACGGGCTTCAATAAGATTTGCATTTTGCTTATTTATTTATTGGGTTTGAGTTTCGACCCACACAAAAAATTCATGGGTTCGAGTTGTATCAATCTTGGGCCAAAACCAGCCATGTAAGAGGCTTTGCCAAAGCAAGCCGACCAAAACGACGAGTCCCAGAGTTGGTTGGGTTTCTTTTTCTTAAGCAGGCCTCGCTGGGCTCTTCGCTACCCGCTTTTTTTCTTCTTCTTCTTCTTTGCTTTCAATTGTGAATAAAACGACCCGTCGGTCGTAGCTGGTCACCCCACCAGCAACCATTTTACTTTCACAGCCAAAAAAAATAGAAAGAGCGAAAGACAGAGAGAGAGAGAGAGAGAGCGAAAGACTGAGAGAAAGAGAGAGGGAGAATCAGATGGAGTCGGAAAGCGGGGCGTCACTGCCGTCAGGACCAGACGCGAAGAAGCGGCGAGTGACATACTTCTACGAGCCCACCGTGGGCGACTACTACTACGGCCAAGGCCACCCGATGAAGCCCCACCGCATCCGCATGGCCCACAACCTAATCGTGCACTACGGCCTCCATCGTCGGATGGAGATCAACCGCCCCTTCCCCGCCGGCCCCAACGACATCCGCCGCCTCCCCCCCG